TTCTAGTTGTTAATTTGTACCACCCATTTCCTGAATGATCTGTTCATAACTACTTTCTCAACCTACTGAAGCTCAAAGAGTCAATAGTCTGCCTCCACAACTTCCCATATAAGGGAGCAACTTGGTGCCACTAGACCATAAGGTCCTTGGCCATTTCTTTCATTAATTTAGTTTAATGTTCTTTCAATGCTTTTTTGGTTTCTTTAAGAATATTTTGCACATCCGGGATTGTCATTTTGAAGAACTCTTTTTATCTTTGGGTGATGAGGGAAACCTGCAGCCACTATCTAAGGGTGTACACGGGGTAAGCGCTGCCTTGTGACCCTAGCCGACAAAGGACCACAAGGAGGTAAACCAGCTTTGGTTGCCCATAACTGACCAGCTCAAACCAAGAAGGTCACTGGGCCGCTCCCTCGGGGAGTTGAATTTTTAACCTTGTTATTATTGCCTGTCATCAGCTATCTCCCTGGTTTGCTGCCATGGTTGCTATGTTTTGTGTGATTGTAGAGGCTCCGAGATTACTGACTACTTCCTTCAACAGCTATGCAGCAACATGGACCGATAAGAACAAGGACAAAGAGCAAATGCAGAGTGGCGTTACAACAACCAATCAAGTACCATCATCCAGGGACTGGGTGGGGGACTTTCTAGTGTGGAAACCGCCCGTTGGTTTGGAGAAAAGCCAGACGTTTTGGGTGGCTCTAACACTATGGATAGGTTTGGTTGGTGCTGCTATCTTTTTGCAAAGATGAATGGTGTTGTATATGTGTAAATTTCTTCCATGATACTTGTAAAGTATTTGTTGTTGTTTGATAGCTTATAAACATTCCACTTGCACTGATATTATAGTAATTTGACTTGCTCCTTTCAGTGTTTAGCTATGCACTCATCTTGAGCTTTGAATCCACTCAACAAATGCCCTTATATAGTGCAGCTCAGACTATTAGTGTAATAAAGTATTGGTGCAGCAAACTAGTTTAGATTGAAAAAGATTTATATATTCTTATATTTCTTAGAAAATTAAATTAATTAAAGAGTATGTAACATTCAAAAATAAAATAAAATTAATTAAAGTGTTCAGTGCCATATAATGTACAAAGTTACAAAGACAATTGGTGCAAAAGGAAAAAAAAAAAGTTAGTTTATGATTTTTACACTATATATGGTAATTATAAAAGTACAATATAATTTCTACTTATTTAGTCATCAATGTTATAATTCATTAATTAATAATTGAGTTATACCGGTGTAAAAGTAATTATGTTTAACAAAAATATAATAAAACAGTGTAAAAGTAATTATGTTTAACAAAAATATAATAAAACGTATAAGAGTAATTTTGTCTAATATTATGCAACATACAACCATTTGAAGTACAATATACATTTATTAGCACGAAGGCAATAGAGAATCATTATACCATGGACCATGATCGGTCTTGTAAAGTGGATTATTAATACATAGTTCACTTTTAGTATATTGAAGATTCAATTTAATATATTTAATGTTCAGTTTTTGAAAATTTATTTTTTTATACTAGTCTTTTCTATGCGCGATGCGCAAAAATATATGTTAAATATTTATATTTTTAAAAATAATTAACAAACCTTACTAATTAGTAATTACTGTAAAATCTATATGAAATCAAATTTATTTATTATATTAATTCAATATATAATGTCTACAAATATTATTATCATTAAAGAATATAAGAAATATACGGTGGATGCATGTGCATGGTACCAATAATGAAAAAGATAACGAAAGTTATAACAGTAGTGATATTTTTGTCTAAAAAAAATATATAGTGCAACTCTAAAAGCACAATGTACAAAATGATTAGCACTAAAAACATGAACATAAATTAGGGATATAACTTTGATTGAGACGTATTATGTTTTTAGATATATTAAAAGGTCATTTTTGTATATTAAAAGTTGATTTTTGTATATTACACAAAAATAAATTTTCAAACTTTAATATATTAAAAAATCTAACATTACTCTTACGTGATTGGGCCAACTTGGTCGGAATGAAATTATATTTTGTGGATCACATCTACAAACGGGCTGAAAGATTACAAACAAAATTTGATTTTAGTAGAAGCGAGGTAAGAAGACAAAAAATGCTCTCGTTGAGAGTCGAACTCAAGACCTCCCGCTTACTAAACGGGTGCTCTAACCAACTGAGCTACGAGAGCTGTTGGTCTCGAAGTGTAAATAACTTTTTTATGGTAGATTTTGAAAAATGAGAGTAGAAATAGCAATCCAAATTTAAAAAGCATCTAAATTACATACTAAATTTTTATAGGAAAATATGGTTAAATATGCCATCAAATTATTTATCAAAAATTAATTATGCTCCTAAATTAAAAAAAAAATACAACTAACACATCAACTCGTCAATTTGATGCAATTAAATCGATTAGTGGGTTACCTTTAACTAACCAATAAAAATGTGTTGTTGGAGATTTAATTTAGTGTGTTTCTCTCATCAATCAAAACAAACAAATTGTATATTAATGTTATATGGGAGCAAGAAAACACTACTTCTTCAGCACCAAATATCTGTATGACTGTATTGAGTGTTGTCGGATTGCAAACAAATCTTTGCATCAATCTTTTGTGTGTGCGGTGTTATTTATCAAAATATCAAGCATGCTAAGTTGATGAGCAAAATGTGCATAATACTCTTGTTTGTTGGTGTCAAGTTATTTTAAATTCTTATAGGAAAATGATATTTTCCTTCATAAGTTTCGTGAATTGATTGCCCCATACTTTTAATTAAATATTGTACTAAATAACTCAATACTTTTAATTAAATATGAATTAGCTCAATTGACATGTGTGCCTGAAACAAATTAGTAATTGTGTCTTATGTTATGAATTTTTGACCTAATAACCAATTTCAATCACCTATCCGAAATTAAAGAATCTAATGAATTTGATGCAAATTGAGAAAACAAAAATGTGCTGGCATTATGCTAATTAATTTTCTTCAACTTTGAAAGTATAATTTAAAATTATAGAGTGTAATGTTTTTGGGTGACGAGGAAAACTCGCAACCACTACCCGAGAGTGTGGCACTGGGTAAATTTTGCCTTGTGACCTTAGCCATCAAAGGATGACCAACTTAGGGTTTTTATAGCTAATCGGCTAAGACCTACACAGAGGTAAACTATTCTAGGGAGTCAAACTTGTAACTTTATGGTTGCCAAGTCAATAGGCTGAACAACTTGGCTTGGTATAGAGTGTAATTTTTAACAATATAGAGTACATTTCTGGATAAATCCTAAAACCTAAACCAAACACCAAACCTTAAACCTAAATTGTAAATACTAAACCCAAAGTAGGTAAAATTAAAAGTAAACTCTTAAACCAAAGTAAAAATTGAAACACTATAAACCAAATCCAAAAAAACTAAACCATAAACTCTAAAATGTGAATCTAAAGTGCATTACGTTTAGAGCATGTGGGGTCAAGGTTGAGAGCAATGTTCGAGAATGGTTGTGAGTGATAAGAAAGTTCTAGTTCGACTTGGTGAGTGTAAAGGCCGAGATGCGAGATCATTTGATCAAGGTTTACTATATATTTTCTTTAATTGTCCAGACAACTAGAAAAAATGAGAGACTCGTGATAGAGCTATGGAGACTGAACCTAAAGACAATATTGGGCCAAAGGGAGGTGTATGTTTTGGGAATTGATTGTGCCAGAGAAATAATCGGAGCCCATGGACACGTTTGTTGGAGACTAAAATTGAAAGGGAAGAAAGTCAATTGGGAAAGGAAACAAGCCATTGAGATTCAAGCATTGGACTTACATGATTAATTAGCTACATTGGCAACAACTAGCTAGTCTACCTTGTCTCATGTACAAGTTTATGTGCTAAAAATTAACTAAGGAGAAAGGTGTGTGGTAGTGACTTAGGGTGATGACGAGTGGTTGGACAGGATTGATTGAGACATGACAATCACTCATTTCACAGGGTGCATACACTATAATAAAATTCCTTGCCCCCTTCTAACATCAACTAATAATCAACCAAGCAACATGTCCTTTGTTACTTATTTCTTATTTTTACTGTCTGATTTATAATTTATATTCGATTTACAAAAAAAAAAACATCTCTATCCTTATTCTCTAATGATTATATTCTCATTTCAAGAATTTATTTACATCACCTAAATCCTTCATCACGAACTCTCTTAACAATCTTATTTTCAAATTTCTTAGTCAATTGCATATCACCCCAACAAGGCAACAATCAACATATCAATATATCATCAATATATAACAACATGATGATGTATGATTCATTGAACATTTTGTTATAATTACAGTGAAAATTAAAAAAAAAAAACCATTAAAAATAATAAAACAATCAATTAAACTTGTATCACTATCTATAGCATATTTCAACCCATGCAAATTCTTCTAAAGCTTGCACATTAAACTTTATTAAATAAAACTAAATTAACTACTACAAAAATATACTTGTAGAATTCGTTTATCTTTAAGTTATAAGGTAATTGTAGAATTCGTTTCTACTTATTGTTCGTATTTACTTTTCGTTCATAAGTTATAACTGAAGTTGTAATTTTTATTTTTTTTTTCTAATAAAACATTAGAGACAAAAATTGCAACGTTACTTATAGCTCAAGGATTAAAAGTGAACACGATCGGTTAAAAAAGACAAAATTTAAAACGTCAGTTATAAGTTAGAAATGGAAGGTTAACATGGCCAATAAATAGGAGTGAATTTTACAATTAATTTATAACTCAGGGACAAAAAGTGTAATTTTTCTTTACAAATAACGGGTGGTGGGTTGAGGCCCACATTCCTTATATGTCAATGAGGCCCTGGCAGCCCAAACCGAAACCCCTAATTACATTTTCGCCACTGTTCCTGAATTCCTAAACTAGCCCAGCAAGGGGTAAATACGTAAAATCCCGCCACACATCACCATTTTATGCTCTCCCATCAAACCTAGCCCCGAGCCTCAGTATTAGGGTCAGTGCTCAGCCGCCGCTCTGCAATAATCTCCGGCAACCATGACGACAAGGTTCAAGAAGAACAGGAAGAAGAGAGGCCACGTGAGCGCCGGGCACGGGCGCATCGGGAAGCACCGGAAGCACCCGGGAGGCCGCGGGAACGCCGGAGGGATGCACCACCACCGGATCCTCTTCGACAAGTATCACCCGGGGTATTTCGGGAAAGTCGGGATGCGGTACTTCCACAAGCTCCGCAACAAGTTCTACTGCCCCATCGTCAACGTCGACAAGCTCTGGTCAATGGTGCCGCCGGAAGTGAAGGCCAAGGCCTCCAAGGACGACGTTCCCTTGATCGATGTGACTCAGTTAGGGTTTTTCAAGGTTCTCGGGAAGGGCGTGCTTCCTAGCAATCAGCCGGTTGTGGTAAAGGCTAAGCTCGTTTCGAAGATCGCCGAGAAGAAGATCAAGGAGGCCGGCGGCGCTGTTCTTCTCACCGCCTAAGGTTCTTCTTTCACTCTCCGTCTCACATTTTGCGGTTTTGGAATCTTAACATTTATGATATGAACTTGCGGTTTGTTTTCATTATATGTGGAATTCAATTTTGCAGCTCTATATAATATATGCTTATTTCCTTTAAAAATTATTAATGATTTGAACATTTGGTGTTAAATTCAAGTTTGATATTTGAGTCATAAGCATAAGTTTGAATCTCAACTCATAAATTCTAATTATATATGCTAAGAAATAAGAATATGTAAGTTTGTATGAAACTCTAATGGAGTTCAAGTGGCTGTGAATCTGAATCCCCTCCCCATTTCCTCATCCTTTCTCCAGCAAGGGAAGCCTGCATTTAAGCATATTGAGAATTGAAAAAAGTTATAGAAATGACAATTTTTGTTCTTAAGATAAGTCAGTGATAACCAGAAATTAGGTATCGTGCAGTCGAATGTGGAAAGAATTCCATAATCGATTGAAAAAGAAACTCTAAAAACAATTGTACCTCCTTGATCCAGTTAGTTCTGAGGATCATAACTATGAGAACAATGGTTTGAACTGCAGTTCCTGTTAACATTCCATACCAAATACCCTACAATATAATCATTCACAATAAGCTAGCTTTCAGAGCTCACTGGTTTATCATCATATCTTATAACATATGGGAGAAGAAATGATACCTTGACACCCTTGGTTAAGGCAAAGCATAATACCAGACCAATAGGAATACCCACTAAGTAGTAGCATACAATGTTCACATATGCTACATAGCTTTGCCACCCTGCTCCAATGGCTACTCCTACAGCACAGTGTTGAAACTAACCCAATTCAAAACAAAAGATTATAAGGTGAAAAAAAAGAGGGGAGCTGAGAAGTTTTTGGACAAACCAGAGAGTGTTGGCTGAATGCTGTTAAGAATAATGGTGGTTCCTAACAAAGGTGTGAGATCATATACAACCTGCTGTATTGCCGAGCTTTTCGTAAACCATGGCGGATATCGGCTTCTAAGGAGAATCAGAGTGAGTGCTAGGATGATTCCGACGAATAACGATGTGATTGTGGCCACAACTACGGCAAATTTTGCTCTTCTCGGATGCTCAGCGCCTAGCTCATTTGACACCCTCACACTGCACAACTAAATGACTTTGTTATCTGTCTCATTTTACTTGTCTTGTTTACTATTCATGGGTTAAATATACTCTTTTAATTTTACGTCAGTATTTTAAAATTTAATTTTTTTTTGGTGTCTAATAGTACTTTGGGTGTGTTTGGAAAGCAGAAAAATGCATGGTTTTTGGAAAATGTTTTCTGTAAAACATTTTCTTTTCTAGTGTGGTTGCATTTTCAAAAACTGTCTTGGTATGTTTGGTTCATTTTTTTTTTTTTTTGGAAAATGAGCACAATTATTTTTAATTTTAAATATTTAAAATATACTGTGGTGGTGGTAGCAATGGCGGGGGTGATTTGTTGTTCCACGAAAAATGACTTCTCCCAAAAAAAAAAAAAGAAGTTATTTTTTCATTTGACCAAACCCTTATTTTTCATGGACTTCCATTTTCCCATCTATCCAAACATGTGAAACTCGGAAAATGATTTATAAAAATTATTTTTCGGGTTTCTAAATCCACCCTTAATGTAGTTTATAAAAATATAAAAATTATATATATATATATATATATATATATATATATATATATATATATATATATATATTAAATTTAATTTAATATTATAAAAAATTGAATTAAAAATAACTTCAATTAAACATTGTTAACTGAATGGGACATAGGTAGTAGAAAATAATAGAAATGGGTGGTGACATTTTTTAAAAAATAATTATCATATAATTTACAGAAATACAACAATACATTTTTATTTTTTGTAGTATAAGTGTGACTCTTTGCATTATATAATTTTTGATTACTTATATAAAGTTGCGTCATATTTAAAAAAGAAAAAAATAGTCCGTATAGCATCAATTACCTTATTGCAACACTAAACCCAATGCCCACCATTAACGTCCATCCCGAAATGTTCAAGCTGCAAATGAACATTGTACATTAAAGATAATGCTATTAACACATAAAATAAAATTTTATATGCAACTTTACATATACGTTAATTATTAATATTGATTTTTTTAGTTAGATCACGAGATGTTCTGACTAATCTTGTTCGCACAAGGCTGACCTAATTAATGGATAAAGTGTCAACAATATTAGTTTTTTTTTTTTTTTTTTTTTTTTTTTTTCTTTTTTTTTTACAAGAGGGACTTCTGTTAAGAGACGAAAATGTATGACCACTCACGCCAACCAAATTGGTTAATTATTAATATTTATGGAATACCTGTAAATTGATATGTTTTATTAAGAATTAATCTGTAAGTGCCACACTACTGTATTTGTAAAATTTGTTTATATGATATCTAACATTGCTTAATGCCTTAATAACTCACTTTTATCGAACCATGGGAGGTAAAGAAAGCATCTTTCTAAAATCGGAAAAAGAAAAAGAAAAAACTCAAAAACTCACCATATAGATGTTGCATCAACTGAAAGTTCTGCATTCTTGGTGTATCCAACAAAAAGAATTAGCATTTTAAAGTACCAAATTTCTAAGCTGCACAAATCCCCAAGATATAGTGATTAGGGAAACATAATTCAAAATATTTAAAATCCCAATTGACATTAAACTTTTTTCTCTCTCAAAATATTATCCGCTTCGACTAAACACATCAATTTAATTTTGAAGAATGTACTAATTTAAATATTGGAACTACGGTCAAATTAGCCACCGGCATCCACAACAATGGTTTTTGGAGAATTTTTTGCAAAAGAAAAAATCAAGTTAAAATTTGTGTACTGATGTGGGTGGCTTTTTTACTCTACAAATCAAAGTTTTTTGTGGACCCTAGTTGTGAAGAAAATGACACACAATTTGCGTGTTTCGCGCACGATCACACCCAAATGGTGTGTGCATTGGGTCCTTTTTTTTTTTCCTCTCTCCTACTACTTGGCCTGAAAAAAAAATCCAACATTATTGAGGTTGCTCTTAATTAGAGCTGTAACACTTGAAATTCGATCTATCATTTTCATATAATAGCTCTGTTTGATAAATGGTTGTTAGCTGTTAGCTGTTAGCTGATTGTGTTAATTAGAGAGTATAACTAGTTGATAACATTAGCTATTGTAGAAAAGTGTTTGGTAAATTAATTGTTAGCTAATAGCTGTTTGGTATAATTTTTTTTTTTTTGAAAAAACTAATTGAAAAAGTCGTTTGAAATAGCTTTTTGAATTTTTGCATTTTGGAGTTGCAAAAAGCTAATTAACCAAACACTTATATTGATATTTTAACTAAATTAAACAATTAATAACGGTCAAATAAGCCAAAATTAACCTATAAGTCAATTTTTTACCAAACAGGCCATTATATATGTTCTTGTTACTTTAATTTGAATATTATATTTTAATTGAATCCAAAACCCGTGATATTTTTTTCTGGAGTAAACGAACTGTTCCTTGTGTGTGCGTATATATATATATATATATATATATATATATATATATAACTTAGTTCCTATGCGGTTGTGTAGTTAAATTTGAGCTATTGATCTTGTCTAAATCAACGTCCAGGATTAACAGTGATTAAAAAAATGTGTAGTGACAATTTGGTCTTTTTGCATCTAGGTCAAATTTAAGGTGCGTGGTTTTCCTTTTCTAAGCAAGGTGCGTGGTTTTTGTACTGTGTCGCTTAAGGTGCGTCAGGTGTTGAAAACTTAAGTGCGTCGATCTAAAGTTTTAGGTGTGTGGTTTTCCTTCTTAAGGTGCGTGGTTTGTGTGCTTAAGGTGCGTCAGTTGTTGAAACTTAAGGTGCATCGCCTAAAGCTTTTGGTGCGTGGTTTTCCTTCTTAAGGTGCGTCAGTTGTTGAAACTTAAGGTGTGCCATTTTAAAATTTTAGGTGCCTGGTTTGTGTTCTTAAGGTGTTTTGTTTCTGTGCTTAAGATGCGTGATTTGTGTACTTAAGATGCGTCTTTTTGTGTTAACCGCACAAGCGCACGGAAAGTTATATTTGCACCTGATCCACTCCGATCTCTATATAACATGTAAAATAGTACCGGAGTAATATACTTTGTACTTTGAGGTATACCTAACGACAAATTATTGTGTGGACCATGGTCTACATAATGTTGCGTGAATAATAACAAAAAATACATTTTTAATATGCTAAGTATATTATTCGTATACTGGATGTACATTATATAAAATAATGTACTTTTAAAAATATATATAATATACATTTTTAATATACTAAAAGTACATTATTTATGTATTTAATGCACATTATTTAATAGTATGATTCATACATTTGTGTTTACCATAATAATGATTGATACCTAACAATATACTTAATTGGATGTACTATTATTAATGTAATGTATGGTTCTCTTGCCCACACGTGAACTTTGTAGTGTATGATTCTCTATGTTCACACCTGAATGACTAATCTTAATAGATTACTTGAAAATTTGAGGCATTTAATATCAATAGTACTGTAAAAAAATTAGATAGATAGAAATAAAATTGGCTGTGGTGATAACACATTGGCCTTGTTTAATTTGGTAATTATAGTGGACAGTGATTACTGAATAGCAGATTGTGTTAATAATTTTGATAAGCATTAGGGACTTGTAAAGAAATATTTAGTAAAATAAACTATTTACCATTAGTAATTACATGTAAAAAGGACATTCGTAGTAGTGATGATGATGATGATATCAAATTAATATTTTTATGGGCAAAACATTAAATAGTAGGATAGATACTAAGGCATGTCTAATTTTAATTGATTACTTGAAAAATCTAATTCTAGCATTTAATATCAAGTTATCAATTTTTTTTTTTTTTTTTTTTTTTTTTTTTTTTTTTGGGTGAACTTAAGGTTTTCTACAGTTGAACACATTGACTAATTAATCCCTCGCGGAATTATAGACACCTCTAATGTATAGGACAACTGACTTAGAACTTTAAGATTATACTGCTCCATACCCAAAGCCAAGCTAAGGATCGAAGTCATCGAACACTTATCAACTTAACACAACGATGCATGGGTCAAAATAAGCATAAAGGACAATTATGATTTATGAATGATGGGGATATTAGGTATGGGCTAAGGACTTAATGGGCTGACGTGTTGGGTCGTGGATGGACCGATTTGGAAGCAACCGAGGGGAAGCGTGGCTGCCGGGGAGGTGGCCGGCGCTGGCCAGCGCCGGTGGCCGGAGGAAGGCGCCGGCCCCAGCCGGCGATGGTGCACGGGGACGGCAACAGGAGTCGGTGGCCGGATGAAGGGGCTGGCCGGGGCATTGGCCCCAGCCGGCGATGGCGCGCCCAGCGCGCGGGCCTAGCTCCCCCCGCCCGGGGACGGCAACAACTGCCGGCACACTCGTGCGGGGCGGGTCCGCGAGGTCGCGGTGCGCACGTGGTGCGGACGGTGTGGCGAGGCGTATGTGCTGTGTACGTGCGACGATGAATGGGGGAAGTGGCGGGCATTGCGGGGATTACGTGGGACATGCGGACGACACGACAAGCTATAAATAGGGCCCCCAGATTCATAGCAAAGGGCAAGAGAGACACGACAAGCACTACGGTCTAGCGGTCTTGATCTCATTTTCCCAACCTCATCACCTGTGTTCAATCGTTTTTTGTATTTGGGTCGACATTCCGGCCTTGTACCTTGGGCTTTGTGTGTATTATTTTGGGCCTAGCGCCCCGAGTAATAAAGTTATTACTTTCCCACCCTGTTCTATATGTTTATACCCGGTTTATGGTGGACCGGTCCCGATAAATCCATCAATGAACAACCAAGACGAAATAGCCTAGTCGGCAAACTTCATCTTGTGACCCTAG